ATTCCATGCTTCTGTGTCTCTTATCCAGATCTTTTTAGAATAGTGTGAGGAGAATTGCCTCACAGCCTGTAGTTTCTGACTAAGGCCAGGAGTCTTTTTCCCTAAAACACAGTTTCATGGGTTTGGGGGATTTTTTTCCTTTCTCTGGCAATATAGACACTTTCTGAGTGGTTCGCAATCCTCTAAAAGCAGAGAATGTTGATGTTCTTGGATAAAGAATGATTGAAGTTACTGTTTGTTCAGCCATTTTCATCTGGCACTGTCTTTCCTGAGTCTAGCTTGGGCCCGTGTTGATGGTGTTTTGTGTTTGTCGCTTGGGTCTTCCCAACGTATCCCATGTCCACTGTGTTCTGCCAGGTGTGGTGGTCAAGGACACGTTTGCCCTTATTTAGTCATGTCCTTCAGAACTGTGCTCAGTCACTGAGCCCGTTTCCCTCATGATAAGCTTTTTTCCTTTTCTTTTTTTTAAAAAATATATCTATTGATTTCAGAGAGAGGAAAGGAGAGGGAGAGAAAGATAGAAACATCAATGATGAGAGTCATTGATCTCGGCTGCCTCTTGCATGCCCCCAACTGGGGATGGAGCCTGCAACCCGGGCATGGTCCCTGACCGGGAATCAAACATCGATCGCCTGGATCCTAGGTCGACGCTCAACCGCTGAGCCACGCCCCTATCCTCCCACAGCAGCCATCTTTCTGTTTCTGGCTTCAGGCCCTTTGTCCCTCCCCTTCTCTGCCTCGAGCGCTATTCCTTGTGCTTCTGGCACGTGTCCCTCAGATGGCCTGAACCTGCATCCGAGGCTCTTTCTCACATCTTACCATCTTTGTTCCGCGCAGCATGCTCCTGTGTGCTGTACCTTGCTTTCCCCACTGGAGCCCTAACTCCCCAGGGGCAGGTGATGTCGCTGTTCACCTCTCTGCCCCGTGGTGCTGGGCGCACCGCAGCGCTCAGTGAACAGCTGTGACGTCTAGCACTGGAGTCGAAAGATGGCAGCAGTAATGATGGACAGTGGTAAACGTCCTGATATCGGAATGGCAGGTTTCAGGGTGTTTTCTTTTGTAGCACGGTGGTTTCAGCCTTCTATTTATAGAACATAAACAAATGCCAATTATTCCCATCACTAGTTGGATGGTTGGGCTGTTTCAGTAACAGAAACACTGCCATTCTCACTTTAATATGATGGAAATGAATGATTACCTGTGTGTTGTAACCTAAAAGCAGCATTTTGGAATTGAAATGCTCCTGTTGTGAGGAAGGCATATCTAAGGATGTATTTTTTCCAACAGCAACATCTGCGAAAGTGGATGGAAGTGGTGGTCCTCACCCATAAAGGGGGCCAGAGGAGCGACGGAAACGTGAGTGACTTGTTTGTTTCTGGGAAGGGCCACCCTGCCGGGCACTGCCATTATCTGTTAGTTAAAGTGTCGGTCAGAATCTAGCTTTATATTATAGTCCATTTAAATTGTTAAACATATTTTATTAGCATTACATTTTACAAAGTTTCTCTTTTAATTGTTGAAAACATTCTTTTTTGTGTTTCTTTAAAACCTCCCTTTGTTCACTTTAATATGACTTTTTGTTGATAAGAATTTTTGGAAGCTTGTAATGTTAGTATTTCAGTTTTGTTAGTTTTGCTTTAAAGTGTATAAAGTGTATTTTCTAGACGGTTCTTGGCAGCTGCTGTTTTCACGGTGGTGCACCCCTCAGCTGTTCTCCATCGCTTTCTGTCATCATCACCTCATGAAACCAAGTAGTGACTTTAGGACTTAATAAAGCACTAAGGAGAATGTGATAAAACATTACATAAAAATAAAAGAATTTATGTTTTCTGGGTCTGAATCCCCCACCCCTGTTGTTTGGCAAAAGTCAAATGGCCAGTACTTCAAAACACATATTTAACTAAAACACTTTAGTTAAATCTTTTTGAGTATTCAGTATCAGTCATTAAAGATTTTGTCTCTTAAAAACGAATGGCTCTTGCTGTTTTGACTCTAATCTTAACCTGTACATGTTAATATTCTTTTAAACTATTTTTTAAGTTGGTGCTCGTCCTGTCAGTGAGGTTGCGTTCCCCTGCGTTTCTGTTTTGCCCGGTGCCTTTGTGTCCTGAGGAGGGAATTCTGTAGCTCTCAGAGGCGTAATGGCCTTTGCCCTCCTGTGCCTGTTTGTCGGATGCTGTGTTTCATCCCAGCTTGATTTTTTTTTTTTTTGGCTTTATTATGCTTTGTTTTGACCATTCTGTGTCAAGTGTTTTATTTATGTAAGTCTTGTTTCTTGCTGCTTCTAAAGAGTGAACTAAGCAAAACTAAACCAGGTTTTTAAACTTTTTTAGGATTGGTACCATCCACGACCTCTTTGAAGGTTTGTTACTTATATAAACAGGGAAAAAGTCAGGGAAACTTCGTGGGGGAGAGCAGAGTGTATTTTAAAAGCCTAAGCTCTTGGAAGTAGGTGCAAGTGCTCCTGTGCTTTTCCTCCCCATCTTTCATCTGTTAGGTATTTTTGCTCAATTTTATATTTGTTTTTACAGTAAGCTGTTAATTATCTGAAACACACAGCCATTCGAGAATAAACATTAAAAAACCTCGTGGGTAGATGAATGACTTACATTAGATCAAAAAGATTCCTTAAACTTTTACAGCAAGTTCCTTGGAAGGGTTGGGGGTGGGGGCAGTTGCATAGGGGATGGAGTGGGGGTATCGGGAAATCCTTGAGCTCCTGCTCAGTGAAACATGCTGGTTGTCGGATGAGTGTATTCCCTGAGCTGCTTGGGAAAACCCAGCTGCGTGAGGTCTGAACCCAGGACATGTGTTTGGGGTCCACAGGCAGCATGGCCATAGCTCATTACCTCAGTCCAGGGCCAAGCCTTGCCTTTTCTGCCCTTGAGCCCTGGTCCTTTTTATGCATGCTGCCTAGGATTGGGAGTAAGTCTTGGAAAGCAGTTTGCTCCTATTTGGTCAAACCACCAAATAATATTGCCTTATTGAGAAACTATAACTGAAGACATGTTAAACAGTTGATTAAAAATAAAGCTCCTTTGTAATGTTGGGTACCCCCAAAGATCAGAGATTTGTACATCGTGTTTAGGAAGGCTTGCCTGTTTTGCGTTGAACTTAGCAGGGCAGAACTCACGACCACCTGTTACACCAGGTCTGTACAAAACGCACGCACTCATGCATACACGCAGTGCACACACACGCATGCACCCAACGTGCATGCGTACATGCGTGGCTTTACTTGACAAGATTGCTGGGTATCCAGTCATAGCCTGTGGGTTCTCCTGGGTGTGGGGGCATCAGACATGCCTTAAGCCCCCTGGGACATTTTCAGGAGACTTTAGCTGGGAAAGAGGTTTTTAAAAATGTCTTAGCACTTCACAAAAGAGCTTGAACAGAATAGTTATTTATATATATTTGCATACAGTAAGGTCTTAGTTTCTCCCCTAGACAGGAATTTCAAAATTCCTGTGTTTTAAAAAATTTGATGTATGGAAGGAATACACTCTATTCGACACTATCTGAAGGGCTATTTTGACATCTGAAGGGTGGAAGGTGGTTTTTTTTGGTTGGTTGTTTTTTTTTTTTGTTTTTTTTTTGCTGTTGAGCATTTACTAATTATTGTGTGCTTTCTGATAATTGTGTCTTTACTGTCTTGTTTACCCCAATAACCCTGACTGTGTATGAGTATATGGGAATTTTGAATGTAAATAACATAAATAGAAAAAAGATGATTTTCCTCCCCATCCTCAGGAAAGCATTTCAGAGTGCGGGAGATGTTCCTTGTCTCCATTCTGTCAGTTTGAGGTGAGAACAACCTATTAAAAGTCAGTTTATGACTTGCAATGTGAAGAACAGTTTATATTTTCTTTTCTTTTCTTTTCTTTATACCTTTTTGTTGCCTTTTTTCATGCTGTAATTTTTGTTTTGGTTCAGCCTGCCATGGAAGGGGTAGAGGTGAGAATTTCAGTGGAGGCGCAGGAGGGGGTCGTGGTCGTATTTGGTTTTGCTGTGACTTGTGGTTCTGTGGTGGACAGAGTGCGTTGTGCCTTTGAGTGCAGTGAGCCGTATTGTCTGTCTGTGGCAGAGTTGTATTAGTATCATTGCTGTGAATTGTCCGGGTGTCACGCATGTTTTCTTTTAGGATGTTTTAAACAAGATTCTAAGTTCTCTGGTTTTCTACATGTTAGAATATCAGCATCTCAATATTTAAGATTTTGTTGGATTTTGCTCTCATAGTTCATTTGAACTCATACATCTAACAACCTCTGGAGAGGAAACTCCCCAAAGCATATATTATACCTGGTAGAAATTGGGAGGAGTGGTATAGTTACACTGACGGACTGCCTTGAGTTTTAGAACCTCCTTGCTCCCCTGCACCTCCTGTTCACGCACACCGCACTGATGTAGTCACAACGCTGGGCTTCTCACAGTCAGACTGAGGTTTCCCTCTCCTGTAAAGTGGGGATGATGATATGCTATTCCTGTCCTCCAGTGGAATGCGAAGGCGGAAAGAAGTGGTTTTGCCACAGCGCTTTGAAAACAAAAAACTATAATGTAAAAGGACCACTACGAGAATGTTACTCTAATTTCAGGATAGAACTTGCTCTGTCCCAAGACTTGAAAAGACTGTCGGCAAGAACTCTAGAGATGATATGGAGGTGACAGTGAGCTGATTTTTTTCATTTCTTACCCATCTCACTGTTTTGTCTTTTGGTTTAAAGTATCTCAAATGCCATGGGACATGGGCCCTAATGACTAGTGTTTCTCATCCCCATTTTACTGTGCTTAGAGCAATGGAAATCCTCTTGCACACCATGCAGGGTGGTGCATTAGGGAATCTTCCCTTCTCTACGGTCATGGGGAATTCCCTTGAATTGCAGACACAAAACTGGGGAAACTGAAACTGAGAACGGAAAGTTGGATTAATGCTCAGCAATTGGCCACTGAGCTGTTAGCATATTAAAAAAGTTCTTGGTTTTCCACATTTTTCAATGATTCAGTAAAAGCAGTTGTCAGCTTTATTTTTAGGCCTGGTTGACAAATAATTAGTACCATGGTCAGTCATTTGTTTACATTGATATTTAATTTCCAGGGTAATACTTAAGTATTTTTTGAGGACTTTGCTAAGTTCTGAGGGCAAAATAAGTCTTTGCTTTCAGACCTTAGTACATTGGGAAGACCCCATGATGTCCCAGAAAACTGAGGGAATCCTAACACTCTCACAACCACAGGCATGGTCGTCATACCCTCCTCTGTGAGGGGCTAGCCTGGGCAACTGTCAGGTCACTTACAACACTTGTCAGTGCGTGAGAAGGCAAACACGGCACAATCACGTCAGGTGTAGTCAGTTCCCCCTCTCCTCCAGATGACATCTGAAGGCCAAGGGCAGTTAGTTTGCTTAGGCTACAGCTATAATGTGGGATTGGTAAGTTGTGTTTTTTATACGTTAATTCTTTGCTTCTGGTGGTTAGCCTTGCGAATGCAACTAGACCATAGTAGGATCTGTAGTAATGTTGATATCTCTAGCTAGTGAAATTAATTGGCCTATTTTGTAATTTCTGGTTTTCTTTATTAGGAAATGAAAATTTGTTCAGCAATTATAAACCTTTTTCATCTGATCCCAGCTGCACCTCAAACTCTGGTCAAGCCTTTGTTAGAGGTTGTGATGAAAACAGAACGGGCTATGTTGATTGAGGTAACAGTCAAACATAGGATTAACTCTGATTCTTTCTTTATCTGTTGCTTATAATATTTTCACTTTGTTATATTTTAGATGGATTACTCTATAACAGTATAAAGATGTTAGATATTACTATTTGCTTATGGTTGTTAGCACAGAAGCAGTTACAAGGGGGAGAAATGTATGCCCCCGGCCCTGGTCGGGTACTCAGTTGGTTAGAGCATCATCGCAATATGCCAGGGTTTTGGGTGCAATCCCTAGTCAGGGCACATAAAAGAATCAACCAATGAATGCATGAATGAGTGGAACAACAAATCGATGTTTCTTTTTTGCTCTCTCTTTCTCTCTCTCTAAGTCAGTAAAAAAAAAAAAAAAAAAAAAAAAAAATAT